AGGGGGCGGGCGGCGGGCGGTTGACCGAGGCGCGGTCTCCCCTCGCCGGTCCACAGCTTCATGGAGGTCTGCTGGGAGAAGTGCGTGGACAAGCCCGGCTCCAGGCTCAACTCCCGGACGGAAACCTGCCTGGCCAACTGCGTCAACCGCTTCATCGACACCACCCTGTCCGTCACCAGCCGCTTCGCGCAGCTCATGCAGAAGGGCGGCCACTGACCCGCCGGGCTCGCGGGGGCCCTGCCCGCCAAGGGGCGGCCGGCGGGGCGGCGGGCTTCGCGGACTGCGCGCGCCGGCTGAGAGCAGGAGGCTCGTCCGGGCGAGCGGACTCGGCGCGGCGACTTCTTTTCTACGGCGGCGGGAGAGCGGGAGTAAAGGCACCCGGGGGCTGGATGAGCCCGCTGATAAAATTAAAGGAGATAATGGCAACCCGTCTGTTCTTCCCACGGGGATGTAAAGATCCGATCCAGTAACGCGGCACAGGGTGGTTTGGCTGGGTCTGAAGTCGCCGTTGGTATCAGTCCAAGAAAGATGTAATTTATTCTCCGTTAAGGTTTTAGCACAAGCCAGTTCTGTTCTGATCCAGCCTTACAGTCGCGCTGGGGAATGTCAGTCAGGCGTTTACTTCATCCCGCCACCGGCTATGTTTGTACAATGTGATGATCCGCAATTAAATGAGCAACCGTTTATTGAATAAATCTCATTGCCTGGCTTCGCACAATTGATCAACCCATAAACTAACCACATGGACTAAATTCACACAACAGACTGGAAAACTGCACTTCAGCCTATAGTGCTGTGCAAAGCCACCTGCTGTTTTCAGTCAGAGTAACAGGTCAAATGCTGCCTTTTCAAAGGGCTGATGAAAGATACAAAGAAATCCACGCTGTGGAACTGCTTGTCCTTTGGATTTGTTCTTTTCTATGCCAGATGCGCTTCCTTTGAATGTAACCCGAGAACCTTTGTTTTCCCCACCCAAATCAGAAATGCAGTTGAAGACTGCCTGCCTTTTTGGCTAAAATCAACATTGTTTATTCTTGCAGGCCATTTAAACTGATTCATGCCAGTATTTTTCATGTATAAAAAAATAGGTTTTTTGATTTTCATAGAAATAACTTCAATGGCTTTGCTTCTCATAGCAACAAATTATTTCCAAAAATACATTTTATATCCCTGTGCCATAAAGGACAAAAAAAAACCCCAAAAGCATGTCATTCTAACCTTTAGAACAGGATCATTTCATGGCCATTTGATGGACAATTTTGTTTGGGGAGACCAGGAAAAAAAAATGTTAAAAACAAAGCTCTGGCAGAATGTTGAAGTATTTTATGACACTTTGAAGGAAAAATAGGGATGGGCAGCAACAGGGAACAGTTCTGCGGTAGGTTTTCAACAGTCCTGCTTAGCATACTTTTTGATGAGTAAAGGCATTATATAGCAAATTTCTTACTTTGTGAAGTGCATGGCTTCCCCCATATTTTGTGAAGTACAGTGTGTTAAGGAAGCTTTGGACTCTGCCAGGGAGCCCCGTCTCTTTTGCAGAACTGCAATTCACAGCAGTATCTGGGGAGGTAGGAAGCAGGTGTGATTTGGGCTACACGCTGGGAGTGTACTTTAGTGAGTCCTTCCACGGCCCTCTTATGGCCACCTAACAGGCATTAGAGAGCCATGAAGAGCTTTGCAAAAAAAAAAAAAAAATCCAACCCACAACATAACTCTTTAAGGCTGCAATTCTGTATCTTAAATGTTAATCTAGTGATACTGCACACAAAAGATAATAGTTCCTCTCCCGCTGCTCATCCTATTCACTGCATAAGCAATGGCTACAAGAAGCCGAGCCCTCTGCCTTCGCTCCGTTTTCTCTGGCATTAACTTCTTGCAGCAAGAGATAATTTAAGAAGAGGACTCATCCAGCCAAAACAAGGAGGGATGCTTGGAGACCATGATCTAGTAACAATGGCAAGTTAATGGATAGGATGACCAGCATTCTTCCAGGTATGGAGAGGCAGTAGTCTCCATTTCTTCACAAGATGACTAGTCCGTTACAGTGGGGTGTGTGGTTTTCTCTGAACCAGTCTGTCCCTTACCATGTAGCTCTCTACAGGAGAGGACACGTTCAAATCAGAGAGCAATATCTGCCTGCCTGCTTGGGGGACATCTCACCTCCCTCCCTCATGCTTTATTGCAATTCAACTGTAGATCTTAGCAATTAAAAAATAAATTCCAGGTGTTTTTTAAAGGAAAAGTGGAGCCGAAATCATCCACTGTTCCTGCCATCTTCAAGAGCAGAACTTTGCAATTGAAAGGTTCATCCTGATGTGAACAAAAGGACTGTCCGGGTGGAATCCGGGGCGGGCCAAAGGAATCTAAGCCTCTGTTTTCTGGCCCGTGGGAAACCAAAATGACCCCCCGCCCCTGCCGGTGGAACCAAATCCAAGTTCGTTCCAAGCAGGGCTGTGTCTGGAGGAAAGCTCTGTCTCAGAGCCAATCAGCCTGCCCCGTGCTTGGTCCTAATCCTCCTCTGAGCTGTCCTCGGAATTCTCATCAGCCGCCACTTTCCAGTTCTTCCTCTTGCTGCGCTTCTCCGGCGCCCTTTCCCCCGCTCTTTCGGACAGGGAAGCGTGACGTTTCCTCCTCTTCTTTGCCGGCTCCTTCTCTGAGTCACTGTCCCTGGAATGGCTGGAGCAGCAGCTGCTAACTTTGCTAGAGCCGCTGCCTGGCCCCAGGGAGGAGGCGGGAGGCTCGGCTGACGCCTTCTTGCCCTTTGTGTGGCGCTGCTTCCTCCCCTTGGTGGGCTCTCCCTCCGAACATTCAGACTCCTGGGAAGAACCTGCCACCGTGCTTAGTGGCTCTCGTCTCCTCTTCTTTTTCTTCTTGTGAGATTTCTTTTTCTGCTTCTTCTTGTGCGACTTTTTGGCCTTTTTCCTTTTATGCAGCTTCACAGAAGACTGTTTGTCTGACTGAGTTTTTCTTTTCCCATTCACAGAGTTTTGTTCATCTGGCTCCTGGTCACTGCAAAACACAACCAAGATATGTTTCAGTTTGGGGCATCTTATTTGAAAGTTAATAACTGGAAAAAATAGCAATCATGTTTTTTTTAAAAAAAGGTTCCTGAGCTTCTTTTAGCTGAACCATGACTGCAAATATTTAAGCCCAATTAACACTTCATAGTGGCATTTCTTCCCTCTGATACAGCTCAGTTTCAAGAAGCTGGAGACCATATTGGACAAAACGAGGTGAAGTAGCTTTATCAAACCATTTGTGGTATATTTCAGGTGTCTCTGCCCTATTCTGGCAACTGAAGAAGAGATTCGGGGAGGCTTTGTGTACAGAAGGTTATGTCCATGAACTCACATGCTCCTCTATCCCAGAAATTTTAATTAGTGGACAAAACAAAGCCAAAAACCAGAGTCTGAACCTGGATCATTTGAACTAACCCATTTTCCTCCAGGGTGGGATGGGGAAATTTAGGTATTTAGTGTAGAAGCAGACATTTCTGACTGTGCCACGTAAAGAAAGGGGCAGACAGAATGCAGAAATCTAAGGCCTGGACCATTTTAATGTCCAAAGGGAACCACTCAGGACTTTGGTATTTTGAAGGCAAACTCGTGCTTTACCTGTCTGTATCAAATTCTTCTGGATACAACTCTTTATAGCCACTGTGGCCCCATCTGTTAAAAAAAAAAAAAAAAAGGACCAAGCACATGAAGATTACACATAGCCTATTTTGCAAGCAAGTCATATGACACCACTTTACTGGACTCCACCTCTTTAGGCTGCAGATGGTGGTAGTGAATGTTATGTGACTGCACTCCTATTTGTATTGCTGTGAAGGCAAAAAGGGGTTTGCCGATGGAAAGAGCAACAGAAGTGGAACAGTGCTCATGTGTTGCTCTCCAGGGAAACATGGCCTGGGAAAAGACATACAGAAAAATGATGGAATCCCATTTGCATTCAGTCTGCAACATCTCCAGGTAAGGCTGGCAAAGAGACGTCCTTCCACCTGGGGAAGCTATTGCCAAGCGGTGTCCTGTAGGCAGCACGCGAAGTACGCAGCCTCACTTTGCAGAGCTGCCTCAGTTTTGATTACTGAAGCAATTTCCACCCAGGGAGCGCCTCAACATGAAAAAACCCTCCACCATTGCCTCCAGTAACATTTTGCACTGAGACAGAGGCCTGTGTCATCTTAATTACTATTTTTCTCAGGAAACCTCCCACTTGTGGGACAGTACCTGTCTGGCATGTTGGCTTCGCATTCGTAGAGTTTCTTGTTCCAGTACCGGGCGTGGCGAAGGTCATCTTCAATGGTCACTGCCATAACCGGCACGTTCCTTGCCCTCCAGGTGGCCTGCTGGCTCTCCTCATCAAACCCATCGCTACGCATCCGGCTGCCGCAGAGACAAGGAGAGTTGGGTTTGTAAGTTTGTGGGGGAAGCTTCTCTAGCAGGAGGCGTCAGAAACAAGGTCCACCAAATAGCACACCCACCTTGGCTGCCCTACAGACATCCAGTTGAATAAGCCAAGGGACCACCAGAGCAGCTTGGGCCGAACTAAAAAACTTCTCCCTGAAGCTGGCGTTCTTCCCTAAGCCAGGACTGCCACCTTTTGACCCAGAGGCAGCTCTACTGTTTTAAAAAAGTTTCCACCTTAGAGAAAACAGGAGTTCTGCCCTTCCCAATTCCACAAGGCAGAGGGCTCAAACGGCCAGACTCTCTTCCGCTTTAGGGACAGAGGCAGCAGCCGAAGAGCAAATGGGAAGGCTGGGCCAGGCTTCCCCCAAATAAAAGCAAGCACAGAGCAAGCAGGACCAAGGAGGGGATGCAGAGAGGATCTGCCAGTGTTCTGTGAGCGACACAGCTTTAATGATGTTTCAGAGCAGAGGGATCATTTACCAGCGTGCCAAGACCCTACCTGGAACTATTCGGAAGAGTCCTCTCGTGTATCTCTTGGCTCTGCTTTTCCATCTCCCGTATCTTCCACATTTCTGACTCTTCCTGAATCTGAGGTGGGCAAAGAAACCCACTGAGGACGGGCACAAGTCGGGCTGCTTTTTTACGGGAACCGTTAGGAGGAAGCCGGCACCTGTTGCCTTACCTTGTTGTGCGCGTCCGTGTGGCGAATGACATTCCGCAAGAGGACTTTTCCCAAAGGGATGCGGGACATCCTTTCCGCGCCAAAAGGGTGGCGAACAAATGCCCTGCAAGGAAGGAAAGGGGGAAATGAGGGAGGAAAGAAGGAGAGGGGCAGGGCAGCCAGGAAGGAAGGGAAGGGGAAGGGGAAGGGAATTGGAAGGGGAGGAAGGAAGAAAGGAAGAAAGAAGAGGGAGGGAGGGAGGAAAAGAAGGGAAGGGAGGAGAAGGACGGAAGCGGGGAGGGCCGTCCGGTGCCCCGGTCTGGAGCGGCGAGTCTCCTCTCCGGCAGGAGGCGGGAAGGCCCGGCCAAGGGACCCCGCGGAGCGGAGATTCCAGCG